ATTTTACTTGGATCCACAGTCAATAGCCACGGAAGCACAGTCAAGAAATCAAAAGACGCATTGCATTGGGCAAATCTGCTGCAAAAGACCTCTTTAAAGTGTTGAAAAGCAAAGATGTTACCTTGAAGACTAAGGTGTGCCTGACCCAAGCCATGGTGTTTTCAATCACATCATACGTATGCAAACGCTGGACAATGAATAAGGAAGACAGAAGAAGAATTGATGCCTTTGAATTGTGGTGTTAGAGAAGAATATTGAATATACTATGGACGGTCAAAAGAACTAACAAATCTGTCTCAGAAGATGTACAACCAGAATGCTCCTTGGAAGCAAGGATGGCGAGACTACGTTTTACGTACTTTGGACCTGTTGTCAGGAAGGATCAGTCCCTGGAGAAGGACATCATGCTTGGTAAAGTACAGGGTCATTGAAAAAGAGGAAGACCCTCAACAAGATGGATTGACACAGTGGCTGCAACAATGGGCTGAAGCATAACAACCATTGTGGGCATGGCGCAGGACCAGTGGTGTTTCGTTCTGTTGTACATAGGGTCACTATGAGTCAGAACCGACGTGACAGCACCTACCAACAACAAATATGTGACTTGAAGTCTTGTTTTTCACCAATGCCTTCAGTGCAGCTTGGACTCCTTCCTTCAGTACCATCGGTTCTTGATCATATACTGCCTCCTGAAATGGTTGAAAGTTGACCAATTTTTTTTGGTACAGGCACTCTGTGTATTCCTTCCATCTTCTTTTGATGCTTCTTGCATTGTTTAATATTTTATCCATAGAATCCTTCAATATTGCAACTCAAGGCTTGAATTTTTTCTTCAGTTTTCAGCTTGAGAAATGCTGAGCATATTCTTCCCTTTTGGCTTTCGAATCCCAGGTTTTAGCACATTTTGTTATAATATTTTACTCCATAAATTGACAGAATACCAATTAAGATGTTTCAACAAACGGATGCAATGCTGGAAGTGCTCACTCATCTATGCCAAGAAATTTGGAAGTCAGCTACATGGCCAACCGACTGGAAAGGATTCATATCTGTGCCAGTTCCAAAGAAAGATGATCCAACAGAATGTGGAAATTATCGAACAATATCATTAATATCACTTGCAAATAAAATCTTGTTGAAGATAATTCAAAAGCAGTTGCAGCAGTATGTCAACAAGGAACTTCCAGAAATTCAAGCTGGATTCAGAAGAGGACATGGAATGCGGGATATCATTACTGATGTCAGATGGATCTTGGCTGAAAGCAGAGAATACCAGAAAGATGTTTACCTGTGTTTTATTGACTATGCAAAGGCATTCGACTGTGTGGATCATAACAAATTATGGATAACATTGCGAAGAATAGGAATTCCAGAACCCTTGATTGTGCTCATGCGGAACCTGTACATAGACCGAGAGGCAGTCGTTCAAACAAAACAAGGGGATACTGCATGGTTTAAAATCAGGAAAGATGTATGTCGGAGTTGTAACCTTTCACCATACTTATTTAATCTGTATGCTGAGCAAATAATCTGAGAAACTGGACTATATGAAGAAGAATTGGGCTTCAGGATTGGAGGAAGACTCATTAACAACATATGATATGCAGATAACACAACCTTGCTTGCTAAAAGTGAAAAGGACTTGAAGCACTTACTGATGAAGATCAAAGGCTACAGCCTCCAGTATAGATTACACCTCAACATAAAGAAAACAAAAATCCTCACACCTGGATCAATGAGTAACATCATGATAAACAGAGAAAACATTGAAGTTGTCAAGGATTTCATTTACTTGGATCCACAATCAACGCCCATGGAAGCATCTGTCAAGAAATCAAATGACGTACTACGCTAGGCAAATCTGCTGCAAAAGACCTCTTTAATGTGTTAAAAAGCAAAGATGTCACTTTGAGGGCTAAGGTGTGCCTGACCCAAGCCATGGTATTTTCAATCGCCTCATATGCATGCGAAAGCTGGACAATGAATAAGGAAGACCAAAGAAGAATTGATGCCTTTGAACTATGGTGTGGGCAAAGAATATTGACTATATCATGAACTACCAGAATGAATGAACAAATCTGTATTGAAGGAAGTACAGACAGAATGCTCCTTAGAAGTGAGGATGGTGTGGACTTCTGGCAAAATGGCGCTCTAGGCAGAAGTGAGGATGGTGAGACTTTACCTCGCATGCCTTGGGCACGTTATCAGGAGGGATTAATCCCTGGAGAAGGACATCATGCCTGGTAAAGTAGAGGGTCATTGAAAAAGAGGAAGACTCTCAATGAGGTGGACTGACACAGTGACTGCAATAATGGGCTCAAACACAGCAACCATTATGAGGATCGCACAGGACTAGGCAGTGTTTTGTTCTGTTGTACATAATAACAACAACAACACATGTGACCCTGAAACTCCTTCCACTGAGTGATGAAGTCTTTGTCCCCTCCCCTTAAACCTGGGCAATCTTTGTGACTGCCTCAACCAATAGAATACAATGGAAACGACACTATGTGACTTTCCAGGCTTGGTCATAAAAATGTTATGCACTTCACTTTGTTTGCTTGGAACCAAGCTGCCATGCTGTGAGGAAGCCCAATCTAGCCCATGCAAAGAGCCCACTGTGTAGATGCTCCAGCTGATAGCCAGCTGAAGCCCCAGTCAGCATGTAGATGTTCCAGTTGATAGCCAGCTGAAGCCCCAAACATGTATGAAAATGCCTCCTGATGATACTGGCCACCAGGTGTCATGTCACCCCAACCTTCCATTCTTCCCAGCTGGGGCAGCAAACATCATGGAGCAGAGACAAGCCATCCCCACTGTGCCCTGTCCAAATTCCTGATCCATGAACATAATAAAATGATTGTTTTGGGAAAGTTTGTTAGCAGCAATTGTAACTGGAACTCCAGTATACACATACATGTATATGTGATGGAAATAAAAGTTTTACAAAACAATACTTACCCTTACTAGTGTGATACAATCTGATTTTTTTATTCTCTTCTATCTTATTTAATTAAAAACAAATGCTGGCAACAACCCATCTAGTTGATTTCCTGAGCCAATAATGGGCCGCACCCCACAATGTGAAAAAAACAGCTACAAAGCTGGTACAACAAATCTATAGGGATCCATGAGGAAACATCTGGAAAGCAGGAGGTTGAATGAGAAAAGCAAGTTGCAAACTAATAACATGCAGGATATCATTTATGTAAATTGTTTAAAAATATATATATTGTGTATTTTTTCCACAGACTCAGGATAAAGAATGAATGCATAAAGGATAAGCTAATTTCAAAGTAATTGTTACTCCTGAGAAAGGCAGAGAGAGAAAAGGGTGGCACATGGAAGTGAGTTTCACCCATATTTGAGGATTTAATAGTATCAGTCAGGTTTTATTAAAAAGAAGAAGCGGGGGGAGCCAAATGAGCCAAAATGTTGTTAAAATTGGGTGATGACGTAAATGTCTGTACTCTTCTGTCTTTGTGAAATAATTCACTCACACTGTAAATAATCTATAAAATAACTCTCCAGGATACACAAGAAGCTGATACAAGAGGTCTGGGTGGGGTCTCAGACTGGGAAGTGGACCAGAGACCCTTGGGAGTGAGACTTCTCACCACAATCATTTTTATTTCTATTCTTTTAATTTTCATTTTTGAAACTGTAAAATACAATAAATCTACCAAAAAGTGCCTAAAACACACATATACAGTATAACCAGGCATCCTTATAACATTCAACCAGTTGAAAAAATAGTGTCAAATATAGCCCACATACTGAGAAATGCCCCTCTCAGGGAACTGTTTGTTACAAAGCAAACTCCCCTGTGTGATCGCTAGCCAGACACTGTCCACTCCTGTCCCTTTGGTCCTACTAGAGGTGCCCCCATCCTGACTTCCGGAGTGATCAATGCCTTGCATTTCTTTATCCTTTATCACTTAAGGTGTATATCCATAACACCAGGATTTCTAAACTTTACATAAAAGGAACCGTTTGTGGAAAGTGTACACAATGAAATAATTTTTGTGAACCTTTACCAGAAAGAATCATTTGGGTCCTGGTTCCTTGGTTCCATGTCTGTGAGAATCATCCATGTTACGGTGTGCAGCTATAATTTCTGCTATTTGGCTCCTGTGTAGTAATCCATTGGGTGAAACAGCACAACTTAGGTACCCATTCTACTGCGGATGGACTCTGGAGTTGTGAGTTGTTTCCAGTTTTGGACTGATATATGTGGTGTCGCTATGAATATTTCTGTTCCGGCTCGAGCATGCAGGCAAACTGCAATCCTTTTCTATTTTATTTTTTTGGTAGTATTTGATTTCTACACCATGTTAAAATATTTTAAACATTTAATAATAGAAAAATTTACTTAA